TTCATCAACGTGAAATTTCCTTCAAGTCAACCCCGTCCACATACCAGTGACAGTCACGTCTCTGCCAGTCGCTACCATCGAACGGCGCAACCTACTGCGCTCGCTGGCATAGAGTTGGTTGGAGGCCAATGCTCTGCCGAATGCAAGACGGCCGCGACTGTTGAAGGACAAGGGTCCAAAAATTCAATGACCTAACTTTAGAGGGCCTTTAGAGGACACGCAATGCGTGTATGCGAGCCGCGGGCGCGGATTGAAGGGGGTTTGGGGGCGAAGGGCGACGTCGCGTTTCTCTCGCCGAGTCGCCGGCCGGCTCAGGAAGGTCTTCGCTGAGAGTTTGGTGGTCTGTAAAGCAGTGGTGGATCCGTGGGGCGGCAGATTCGCAGCTAGAGCGGATTTTGAAACAGATATTGTCACACACGACTGTTTTTTTGTGTCAACGATATTGACTGCAGAGGTTTCGGGAAGGTTTTGCTAATAACTCTATGGCTATTCACAGTTCGGCCAGCCATATGACGTAACAGAATTAACCCAAATTCAGCTAGGAAAATTATCGCCATAAAAATGGTTGGATCATATCCACGATCTTTGAGTAGTGAATCAGACACACGTAGCCCAGTCATCTTAGTCAAATTTTGCTAATTACTTTGGAATTTGAAATACCCAGCTATAAACTCGTATAAAGTTGTATTTTGAAATCTTGGAAGTTGTCTGAGAACTTACATATGGGAAGGTGTGCGCGACTATTAAAATCTAAGTTCGAAAGTTTGAAAATTTTATGGGTTTCTCGTTATTTGTATATATCATCAATATTATAGAGGTTTGAGTTCTCTACAACTTTTGTTTCAAAAATTTTTTTATAAGTTTAATCGTTTTCGAGATAGAAGGCGGAGAGCGTGCGGTTAGAGCATCACTCAAGGTCAACCGGTAGTCCCTGTCAAAAAAACGCCATATAAAGTTTATTAACGTAGATATTACTACCAAACAGGCCAGAGACGATGCAGGTATACTCATTGTTCAAACAGCAATTGAAGAATCTAAATCTGAAAAAACTGCACTTAAAATAGAAGATATTGATTTACTTGTCATTTGAATTGTCAACACAAAAATTGTTTAAAGTCAAAAAAGGAAATGTATAAAACAAAAATATACTCTTTCAAAAGTTTCGATAAGTATTCTCGTTCAAAAAAACACATTTTCTTTCTGCACTCATTAAGTGGCTCTGATACGATTTCTACGCTTGTTGAAAAAGGGAAAAAACATTTTTAAATGCATTTGAGAAACTGCCGAATTTGGATCAACTTACAGCAGCACTGTCCGGTTCTAAAATTATTTGAGAATGGAATTCAAATCTTGTTGTCAGCCTATAATGCTGCAAAATCTGTGATTATGCACACTACGTCAAGTCTACGAAACTGAATAAACCTGTGCAGTTATCAAATATTCCACCAACAAGAACAGCAGCTCCCCAACATTTCAATCGTGTCTATTATCAAGTTAAAACTTGGTTAGGATATGATTTGGAACCTCAGGAATGGGGTTTGACAATGCATAATGAATTCCTGGAATCTATCACGACAATTTTAGCACCTGCTCCAGAGGAATTGTTCAACACAATATTCTGCAACTGCAAGAGTCGTTGTGGTTCGCGATGTGGATACAGAAAATCTGGGTTACAGTGATCTTTGGCTTGTGGTCAGTGTAATGGGTAAGCTTGTCTCATTGATTTTCTATATCAGAGCGATGTCAATGAAGACAGAACCCTTGACTCCAAATCATGAAAGACCTGCAGACAACCATCGTTGAAGACGATACAAAAATCAAATTATAAGTTGTATTTGACGGAATTGGCTGATACTTGATGAACAGTTTTACAGAAACGCAACGAGTGTTTCGCTATACAAAAGCTTCTTCAGGTTTGTCATCACTGGTGGTTAGAGTTTTCGTTCAGGTACCTATTTGTGTGTGTCGCTTTTCTGTACATTCTGTGGCCCAGTGTACCATGTACACGTTGAGAAAGTCTAAAGCTATCCCCAGAGAAGATGTTTTAAAATTCACTCTTGAGGCATGGAATGAGGCGTTTTCAATGAATGAAGTTGCATCAATTTTCAATATTTCGTGGATGTCGTTAACATAAATGTACTAATAACGCAAGAAAAAGGTAAAAAAAAACAGTTTTTGTGGGGTAAACCTATGAAAACGCGCTCTTATCAATAATAATGAAGACCAAACGGAAAGTTTGAAGCTGATGAGAAGAGTCTACTTGTTATAATTCACTAACATACATGTCTTGTTCACAAGGTAGATAAGGTAGCTATACGATACGGCTAGTAGGAAACAATATATTTGGAAAAATCATCAAATAACTATCCAGAAAAAAATACAGGTCACTTTCTACGTGGAACATCAGCAGTTTTTCTGGTGAAGGCTGGAACCCAATTGATCATGTTGAAGCGCCATGGTAGATTGAAGAATACGCCAGTTGCGAAAGGATATTCAGAGGACAACATATCTTCAAAGAACGAGGTTTCAAGGATGCTAACAGGCTTACCTTCTGGATGTGCCAATATTTTTTTAAGGATAAAATACAAGCACTACAAAAAAATCCTCAATACAGAACGAATAACTACGCCGCTGCTGTGGCTGAAATCGAGAAATTATCTGAAACATAAGAGTAGGGTTTTGGAGGTCTTCTAGATAAAAGTGGATTTACAGTGATGGTTTTTTGGTTCTTCGTAGCGCGGCTCGGAATCACGGATATCGTATTTATAGGACAACTTGGAAATAATTAAACAGGTCTTTTTTATTTTTTGTTCCTACGCACCTGTAGGCAGGGTATACATTTTCAGAAACGAATTCGTGACATGAAATATTTTTATAATCAGCTTGGTAGAAAATTACGTTTTCGGAAATAATCCCACATGAGAAATTTTCCTGAGTAAACATAAATTTGGAATGATATGTGTCGTGGATTACTAAAAAAGTTATTTATATATTTTGGGGGAACTTCAACTAGAAATGCTTTATATTTCTGTTTATTTATTCAAACAGGTTGGAAACTTATGAAGCAATGAATTCGATATTTTGTAACCGAATATTCTACAGACTAATCAGTGGAAATATTTCATGCAGTCATGAGAAATTTCCTGTTGATTATTCTTTTTGAGTTCGAGTGTACGATTTCCACTTAAAAAAATTATATAATTTCTTCCAAATGATGACATAAATAATGTATTTATCTGATAATGTTATATAAATATATGTTGCTTTATTCAAGTGAATGTGTTTTTTTTCTAGAAACAGAACATCTTATGATATTATTTCAATCTGTTGAAATAATTGGAACTGAATATTTTTTATAAATATGGAAAAGATAACTTTGACATAACATAACAATCAGTTGATAATTCGACCTAATCAGTTATCCAATGAAAAATGCATCAGATCTGAATACCATATCATGACATATCAAAAAATCTGGAAAACCACAGCTCTGACAAATAATTATTCACTACACTACTTTTAAGGGTTTTTTCATTATTTTTACAGTACTCTTTCCCTAATTTTCCATAAACTCAGTACCGTGACTCTCCTAACATGTTTTTCAAACTTCATCATGAAGGATTTTTATAATAATCTATGAAATTTGTCAGATTCTCGAGCATTTTCAACACTCTGTATTGAGTCTCATATTTTACAACACCCCATATTTATTATTTTCTGTCTGATATAATATTTGTATATTCATTATGAATACTTTATATAATTTATTGAATTCTCGAAAACTCTGTATCCACAACAATTTTCTTAAAATTTTTTTCTTAAAATGTGTCAATTGATCAAACAATCCAATGCCACAAACTTCCCACTATTGAATTTGCATTACTGAAAAAAATACTTTTCAAAATCTGTTTTTCTGTTAACATGTAGGTATGACATATTTTTCATTGTTTGTCATTCTATAGTTGAAAGACTATATACATTTTTAGAATTTGAAGCACCCTGGATTCACCTCTCGGACAATCAAGCGACTTTGGAATCTCTTGGCTCTTACCAAGCAACGTTTAAATTGGTAGCAAATTGACAAAAACAACTCTCTACAAGGAAGACTCTAATATGGATTCTTGGCCATTTTGGCCAAACCTTGGATTCACCACTTTTACTATTTGACACTCTATATCACTTGTTAAATAGTTCATCGCCCGTATAATCATCATTTTCTGTAAGCTCAAAATCCATCAATTTATAAAACTTTAACTCTCTGTATAACTTTCTAGACTCTCTTATCTCCCTTCTCGATCCGAAATTTTTTCATCAGTTTTTATTAGGTCTCTTCCAACATTCCATATTCATCATATTCATCATTTTTTACCTGACATGATTTTTTCATATTCCAAATAACAGTTGATAATTTGCTAAATTCACAAACAAACAAAAAATCAAAAAACCTTCTAGATTCACAGAACTATAAGTGAATGAACTTTTTTTAGTATTTGCTTGCTTGAAAAATCCATTTATCACCTTGTATCAGTTTCCAAACCATCCAACACACTAATTTTGACTAAGATGACTGGATCATTACCTATTTCTACAACATGCAATAGCATGGTTGTTATCACCCTGAACAGCTTTTCCTTGTAACGTTTTAACCTATCATGAACAAAAAGAATTCTATCCCAAAATTAAATTGAAACTATTTTAGTCTGTCACGTTTCCCATATCATCTATCCTGGGACACACTATATATTTTCAATCCAGTGACATTCAATAACAAAAATGAAAATGTCTGATAAATATATTTGGTTCTGTCCTCTGTGAATAATTCATGGAACTAACAAGCAACGCACCATCTATGAACGAATAGTCAAACTAATTCTTCCAAAAGAATAGAGGAAACGTTTCGACGAAATGAAGTGAAAGATCAAATTTGGTTCAGGAAAATTCCACGGTGGGTCTAATCAAGTCAATTATGACGTCAGACATCACCTCATTCAATTTGTCATTTGATTCGCTGATCCAAATGTGATGATTTTTTGACCAGTGGAATAATTTCCAAAACTGTATGTGTAAAAACTAATGACATGGACGAAGACCTTGCTAATTTCACCGCTTCAGGTGATTTTAATCTCTTTTCAGAACTAACGAGCATTGACGGTAAGTTTTACTGTTTTTATTTACTAATTTGTTTACTTATTTATTAATTATTAGATCTCATCAAACACTGTGAAAGTAATGAACTGGAATGTGATTTATTCGGTGGAGATGCCTCCCTTCCACTGCACGATACTGTCCCCATGGATTTTGATTTTGGGGATTTGCATAGCAGTACTATGTTGAGCCCTCAAACCGTTTCACCTCCCTTAACTCAGACATCTATTTTCGATTCTTCACAACCTACACCGTTCAGCAATCACATCAAGAAAGTTCCTGAATACAGTCCCACTTCTCAACCTGCCCTTCAAAGTGTGCAAGTAAAGAATGTGCCTCTTCCCGTTCAAAATCCAACTGCGGTGATTATTTCATCACCCAACTTGCAACCGACTACGCAACCCCTTGTGTACACGAATATTCCCATTCAGGGACAACACATTATTCTACAGCAGGGAACCAAAGGACACAGCGGAAGGCAGAAGGGTAGACCTGTGATTTTACAAAACATTCATCAAATATCATCAGAGCAGATGCAGCCGGTTCTTCTACAGGCGAAGATTATCAAGAGCGATTCACAGGTTAGTAAAAGCGTTTTCTCATTTACTTTAACCACTGAATTTATGATGATGCAATAGTTATCATTGTTTATGATTCGATTGAAACTATGTCTTTGTCAACCAATGGAAATAATTATACAGCCTGCAAACTTTCATATGTTAGAAATGTAGATAAAAGACTCAAATTGAAAAGCTAATATTTTCGGGAGAGATCAGTTTTTTCTATAAAAATATAAATCAAGTATTTTTCATACATATAACTTGATATACTATATCTCTTTGAGAGTACTCTTTAAAATATAAATGTATAAATTTTTATTCAAGTAGAAATCAACAACAATATAATGATTAATAAATAAAACAAGTACTAATTTAAAATGTTTTGGATTATATCAATCTAATATACTGTATGTTAAGCCAGAGAGAAAACAAGAAAATTATATAGTAATTGGAAGTGATGTGAATCTAATTGGTGAAAAAAATGGGTTTCAACATTATTTTTGGTTTACAATAAACTGACTGATTTTCAACATTTATAGTTTGTTTTTATGAATTCACACTTTTTATAATGTATAAAGTTGAAGGGTCAGTCCATATTGTGTGTTAGCTTTCATAAGTTGACACTCTACACCTAAAAGGTGTTGATTTGAGCCGAACAATAACTGGTTTTCAGAAATTTCCTTTTCAAACTTATATCTTAATATCACTGTTATGGGTAATTTGAAATTTACAATTCATATAGGGCTGTTCAAATTATTACCCACACATGGGAATCTCGCAAATGGTTAGAGGCAGAGGATAGATTCAATTGTAATAAAGTTGTCTATATTCAGGTAGATTTTCGCCCTGTATGAGGACTGATTTAGTCGATTCGTTTCCTGTATTTTAGAAATATTAGTTTGACTATTCGTCCATAGATGGTGTGTTCCTTGTTAATTCCTTGTAATATTCAAGGACTGAACCTATAGCTGGGAAATAAGCAAATAAGAGAATAAATGTTCTTATGTACTGTCATCGATTACAAGATTTGATTCAACTCATTTGTGATTTTATGAATGAATTGAGTGTTTCATCTTGTAATGACATGTGATGTTTGATTTCAAAGCTTTTAATACAGCCTTCTAAGGAAACTTTCGTATCTACAGTTCATTCTGGAAATCCGGTAGATTGAAGTTTGGGAAAGAATAATGTTTAAGACTTTGGGGTGGTCTAGACCACTATATAAATCATCCAACATGATTGGGTAAAATGAACTACTTTTTTTATAGTCATCAAAAGTTTTGGATCATTTTCAGGTCAACCCACCAACTGTCATGTATACGACATCCCCTTCAAGTACTACTCCCCAACCCATTCACACACTACTAAACACCACGGGAATTCTGACGACGACTACAGGAATTCCAGTGATGATAGATGGGGACAGTAAAGTGGCTATCAACCGAGTTCAACCTGTCGGTAAAGAACGTGTGGTGAAAGAAGTGAAGAAGAGCGCCCACAATGCAATCGAAAGGAAGTACAGGACAAGCATCAATGACAAAATTATAGAATTGAAGAATATTGTTGTCGGAGAAGAGGCAAAAGTAAGAATATATTTATTAAAGTGTGATATGTTTATAAAGATGGGATATTTCGTATGGTCTGCTGTAACTGATGCGAGTCAATTATTGAAATGAATTCACTTATTTAAAAAAAATCATAACGACTCAAACAGTTTCAAAGCAATATTTTTTTCAAATTAATTCGGATGTTTTTTTTTTAAACTTTTTCAAGCATTTGTTAGCTCATTGCAAAACTTGAAATCTATAATGAATCAAATTTTGACAAATATTTGATTTCATTTTCATTAATTTTAGATTGCCTGAATATCTTGTTGTATGTTTGTGTTGGTCACCATTGCTTTTGAAAGTCAGATTTGAATGTTTGAGCTTATTTTTGACTAAATGAATGAAGGTACATAATTTGAATTTATGTAAAGATAACAAATCAAATAGTTTTTTCGATATATACAAGTTGATTGTAGGTTTCTTGTAGTTTTACTTGAATATACACCTTATAATTTTGTTTTGAAGTTTCAGTAAGGAATTTGTTATATGATGGAGGCGGCCGATACTTGATGAAAATCCATAACTAACGTATTATAAAAACACTTTATTGTGTGTTTTTCACTAGATAGTTTTACAAAAACGCAACACGTGTTTCGCCATACAATGGCTTCCTCGGGCGTGTCTTAATAACTAATTCTACACATTAAATGCTATATATACCTTATTCTACAATTTGAGATACCTGAATTTCGAGTACCTGGTTTTTTACCTAAGTTTGTAATGAATTTAATTACCTGAGCTTATGTTCCATTTTCCACATTTGAAAAAATATTCAGTAACGGAGAGTAATTTAATTCTAATTGATCATCCAGTAAATTACCCGAATTCCTGAATCTATTGATTTCTCAACATTCTAGAAGATTGAGTTTCAAACTCTTCTCTTCTAAATGTAACACCTCGTATTCCTGATTGAACTCATGTCCTTCTGCTAATAGGTGGTTTGCAAATGTGGAATTGGTCTTTCTATTTATAAAACTGCTTCTATGCTCTTTAATTCTTTGGGAAAATGTTCTTCCAGTTTGGCCAATATACAGTTTTGGACAAGAGCCACAAGTCAGCTTATATACTCCTGATCTGTCCAACAACGAAGTTTTGTCTTTATTGTTTTTAATAAATTTACTTAGATTATTATTCGTTCTGTAAGCCACGTTTACGCCTTCTTTCTTCAAAAAACGGGCGATATTCCTGGTTGGTTCACCCAAATATGCCAATGTCCTATAACCGACGTTATCGCATCTTGAATGGCTTGCTTTTGAAGTTTTTTGGTAAGAATGGCGTTTATAATATCTACTTTGTAACCGTTATTAACCACGATTTGTTTGATCAAATTCAGCTCTTTCTGGAAATCCCTGTCAGACAGTGGAATATTCAATAATCTGTGAAGCATACTATTGAATGCAGCAACTTTATGTTGGTAAGGGTGTGTGGAGGAATTATGTATGATAATGTATGTGTACGATGGTTTGTGAAAAATTGCAAATTCATGTTTATTGTTATTTTTCGTAATGGTTAAGTCAAGGTAATTTATTGAATTATTTACCTCCCTCTCTGTGGTGAATTTTATTGACGGGTGGATGGAATTGGCATATTCAATGAACTTGCCTAATTGCCTATCGGTACCAGTAAAACATTCTAAGATATCATCTACGTATCTGTACCAGTACAAAAAACTGTTAGCTAACTGATTATTATGGATTTCATACTCTATGTTATCCATGAAAATTTCCGCCAGCAAGGGACTCAAAGGGTTTCCCATTATAAGTCCTTTATTGCATGAATAGAATTTTCCGTCAAACTGGAAATAATTTGTATATAAGCTGATTTGTGGCTCTTGTCCAAGACTGTATATTGGCCAAACTGGAAGAACATTTCCCCAAAGAATTAAAGAGCATAGAAGCAGTTTTATAAATAGAAAGACCAATTCCACATTTGCAAACCACCTATTAGCAGAAGGACATGAGTTCAATCAGGAATACGAGGTGTACATTTAGAAGAGAAGAGTTTGAAACTCCATCTTCTAGAATGTTTAGAAATCAATAGATTCAGGAATTCGGGTAATTTACTGAATGATCAATTGGAATTAAATAACTCTCCGTTACTGAATATTTTTTCAAATGTGGAAAATGGAACATAAACTCGGGTAATTAAATTCATTACAAACATAGGTAAAAAACAAGGTACCCGAAATTCAGGTACTTGAAATTCAGGTACCTCAAATTGTAAAATAAGGTATATATAGCATTTAATAGAATGTCCTATGTTTTGGTATGGCTGTAATGGTCCTACTTCGTAAGCATTTTTAAGGGTCATAAAAGTGTTTTTAATTGTGTAATTTGTATACATTTTAAATAGCTTAAAATTTGTTTCTGCAAGTACAAAATTTTCCTTTTACTATTTTTTTGACGACTGTATACATTTTTTTTAATTGTCACACAAGAGAATAAACTCTACTCTACTCTACTCTATCAGTGGATTCGTCGAAGTGACCTCTTTGCGATGGTGTATGTTTGGTATGGAAGGGAGTTTTTATAGACTATGTAATCCCTTGCCGGTCAACCTTTCAGTGTGGTGCAAAAAACGTATAACAGTTTCATTATCAGCAGCCAAAGAAGATCAAGAATTCGTGCCGCGAAAGAAAAACTCTTATCTTGTCAACTTTTTTCAGACAAATAATAATTTGTTCTTTGTTGGTGATGAACAAAGTGGACAGGACCGGCTTTAATAATATTTTTAATAAAATATAAATTTATTTTGATAAACCTTGAGTAGAGGTAAAAACTAATAAACATGGCAAATTTCAATTTCAAATGCTGCAAAAAAAGACCGCACCATCATATTATGTTTGTATTAAATGCATTTCTATATTCCACAAAGCATGTGCCCTAAGAAATAGTCGAAAAGTGCGCTTCATTGAAAATCATAAAGTAATATGCTGTGAAACTGAAAACCTGTCATATAAGGATGAGATCTTGGAAGAAAAGTCATTGTTGGAAGAAAATATATTACAATTGACACAGGAACAAGAAGTACAAAACACATATATAGAAAAGTTGAAGAAGGATGCCAAATTTTATATGGACGAAGCTTTAAATAATGAAAAGGAACTCAGTGAGCTGATAGAAAAACAAAAAAAACATATTTCTGAAGCAAAAGAACAAATAAAACAGCTTATTTTTTGATCTAACAAAAGCGTTTGACACAGTGTCTCCTGAATTTCTAGTTGCAAAACTGACCCAACTTAGGTTCTCGAATAACTTGTTACAGTGGATTGAATCTTACCTCAAAGGGCGTACCATGACTGTAAAATGTGAAAATGTTAGGTCAAGATGCAACAACGTTAAGCTTGGAGTGCCACAGGGGTCAGTGCTTGGACCATTGCTTTTTTTGTTGTATGCAAATGATTTGTCAGAATATCTGAAAGATTGCCACCTTACCATGTTTGCGGATGATACCACTATCACAGTTACAGGGGGAAATATTGATTTACTGCTTAGTAAGGTAAAATGCATAATCGATAGTTTTAGCTCCTGGTGTCAGCGAAACAGATTAATATTAAACTCCACAAAAACTGTAATAGTAAATTTCTATAATAGGAAAAATGTTCCAGATGACCTACAAACTACTGACGAAATAAAGATTAGTAGCGAAGTAAAATTTTTAGGAACTTACTTGGATGAAAGCTTATCATGGGATCTGCAAATAAAAGATGTCTGCAACAAATTAAACAAGACATTCTTTGCTTTAAGGCAAATGAAATCATACATGGACACAGCAGGTCTACTAGAAATCTATTTTGCTATTGCATATTCACATATATCCCTCAATATCATAGCATGGGGTTGCAGTAATGAATTCATCAGAGTATTCGTAGCACAAAAGCGCATTGTTAGACTAATTTTCAGCATTGAACACCGAGACAGCTGTAAACCAGTATTCGTTAGGGAAAAATTATTACCAGCTCCCTCCATATACATTCTTAAATGTATAGGATTTGCTAGATCTAACATCCACGAAATAGAAACAAACGCAACGGTGCACAGTTACAACACACGTCATGGAGATGTTTTGCGTATTCCAAGTCATAAGTCAACGAAATATAAAAAGTCCCCTTTGTATAAAGCCATAAATCTGTATAATAAATTACTAGAGCAGATCAAACAAATTACCTCTGATAAAGTGTTTCATGGTAGAGTAAAGCAATTGCAGCTGCAAAAATGTTACTATAGTTGTTTGAATTCCTGGAAGATGATTTCCGTTGAGCAATGATTTTACTTATTTTTTTCCTCTTACTATTATTTAGTGTTATCTTCGACGCCTGTTCCATATTTTTACTAAGGAATTTATATACGTGTCTTGTCTATATATGTGTATGTATGTGTGTATGTTTATATATGTGGGTGTGTGTATGTGTATATATGCATATATGTATATACACATATATGATAAATGAAATACCTACCTATTTTATTCGTATCACACTGTTATTATGTTCTATATATATATTAATTTTAAGTTATTGACATACCATATGTACATACTGTACCTCAGTGGCAAATAAATAAATAAAATAATGTTTAGAATTAGTTATTAAGACACGCCCGAGGAAGCCATTGTATGGCGAAACATGTGTTGCGTCTTTGTAAAACTATCTAGTGAAAATCACACAATAAAGTGTTTTTAGAATACTTTAAGGAATTTGTTGCCATTTTCCATATTGATATTAGATGTTGAATTTTGGAATACAATAATGAAAAGTAAATCAATTTAAAGTATTGTAATGGTGCATTTCATATTTTCAATGAAATTCCAATTATGGGAGCTATTTTCCTTCTTATTGTTTCAATATGTCTCCATGATTATTTTTCATCTAGAATGAGACCAATAAATTTTCATTGGAATAAACATATACGAGGATTTCTGATAATAATTCAATGAAATTTTATGGCATTCAAGCTGTGAAGATACTTGATAAAGGTTTATTTGAAATAATAATCTTAATTTCTTGTACATTGTTTTCATTGTATATTGAAGTGGTGTCATCAGCAGACATTTGTAATTTACCAAATAAGTTTACTGTAGCCAAAGAACTGAAATATATGAGAAACAAAACGGGTCCTAGTATTGATCCTTGCGGTGCCCCACATTCATCAGCTCTTTGAACTTTTGTTACAATGATTGTTTGCATTTTTATTTCAAAATATTTTTCATCTAAACTTTCTAGCGAATGAGCCAATAAACATTTGTTTTTATCCTTCAAGCTGAATAAATCTGCCATTCTGAGAAGGACCATCGAGTATATACGTTTCCTTCAAAACTCCAATGCTCGCCTCAAAAAGGAGAACATGGCACTGAAAATGGCGGACAGTCGCAACTCCCTCAAAGGTCTCCTCACAACGGGTGATGCAAGTTACAGACCTGAAGACACACCGCCTCATTCCGACCACTCGTTTTCTCCGCAGTACTCATTACCTTCTAGTCCTGAATATTCTACCAATATTAAGGATGAAATCGAAGAAGAAGAGCCGGTTTTAATTTCCAGAGGCATGATGGATAGTTCCAGGCTGACGTTGTGTATGGTCATGCTCGTCATGGTGACATTCAATCCGTTCGGCTTGATGATGAATAGATACGGTGGCGAAGACGATAGTAAGGCTTTGCGAAGGATATTATGTGAGTAAATTATAACTTGTAGAACTGTTCAAAAAATAAGGTGAATGTTCAAATTTCTCGTGTTACATACATTCAAGTAGCGATTTTATTATTTCTTTATGTTGATACACTTGTCTGGAATATATTTTCACGGTTTCAGCTGCTTAGCATGTTCAGTTTGTTGGCGAGAGGCATGAAAGTTGAAAATGTTTTGCGTGCTCGGTGCTTTCTTGCAATCAAAAAAAAATATCAAGGCATCAAATTTTTGAATTATGTGCTCAAAACACTTGCAATGTTGACAGTGGCATACGGTGATTGTACTCTGAGTCAGAAAAATGTTTACAAGTAGAAATAGAAATAAGATTTATTAGAAATAGATATCTTGATATCAAATATATCAGTCATTAAACTAAATACAAAAAAAACTAAAATATATAAGCCCTATGTAGTAGAATATAGTATTAAAAACATAGCAGTTGTGAATGATGAAGAGATTAATAGAGAGAAGAATGATAAACAACTAAATTGGAATAATATTGTGCCCGTAGATATTGAGATATGGAGCGTTTGAAGAGTTGGAGGGTGCTATTGTATTTAATTTCATTAAAAAGCTTGTTATAGTCCAAGAGTCCTCTAAGAAATATAGAATTCATTGTTCTTGCAAGGTTTGTTAGTGGGACAACCAAGTCATCTCTTCCTCTAGTATCGTATTTGTGTATTTGATGGTTATTTAAAGTAATGTGGTGCTTTTGCAGTGATTTTAATGATGAATATCATAGAAAAATATTGTAATCTATATTTTACTGTCATCCAATTCAGAATATTAATCATTGATAATATAGGAGTATATTTATGGCATTTTAATAACAAGCACATTCCTCTGTTTTGTAATTTTTAGAATTACAAAACAGAGGAAGTAGAGATAGAATTACCGTCTAGTAATGATATCATAGTAGCACAGTAATCAAAGTGTGGTAGGATTATTGTTTTATAAACAGTCAAATTAGATTGGAATATTAGTTGTCTACTAATTCTAGTAAAGAAAAACCTTTTTTCAAGTTCAAAGTGTTATCAATGATGAAGCCCAGGTATTTGAATTATTCCACAATTTCAATAGTTTCGCCATAGATCTCAATATTAATGGAGTTGATATCAATTAAGTTATATTTATATTGTTTTGTCAATATCATAGCTTTCGTTTTAGTGGTATTCAATTTGAGTTTGTTTATGTTCAAAAACTTCGCCATGTTTTCAAGAGTCAAATTAATTTTGCGTACAGCATTATGAATATCAGAGTCGCTTGCTGCAATGAGAGTATCGTCTGCAAAGAGATTGATGTATTCACAGTCACAGTAGTATAAGCTTTTCACAGAAGGTGAAAAATACGTTGAATGACGACGCTCGCCCTGGACGCCCCACCACATGGTCGTAAGGTCAATAAGGAGAATTATCTTGAAGTTATGTGCCACTGGCGAGAAGAGCGCCTCAAGGATTTTCCTGTAATGCTTGTGTTTTGTCCTTGAAAAAAAATCATGCCTCGGCCACCGTATGTACCAGATTTGTCCCCCTGCGACTTTTTCCTGTTATCAAGAATGAAGAGACCCACGAAAGGACGGTGTTTGAAAAAAAAAAGCTGGCACAAGTGTATTTGAGGGGGAACAAAATAGAAATTGCTGAATAAATTAACATTTTTTGGGAGAAATGAAAATTTTCCTCTTTTTTTGAATAGACAGCGTATTTGCTCTCCGAAGTATTTGATATCTATATTTCTCAGTAGCGAAAAAACAATGTTTTGTCCCTAATAAATTGATTTTTCTTGGATATGGAATCAATTATATTATAATCCTGCATAGCTTTGATTTAAATTAGTCTCCACAATAAAGTATTTTTCCTGGTAATTTCAGTATCAGCGTGGACATTTCCTGTCATTAATGTTATTGTATATGGAAAGTTTTTTGTTAAGTGCATGGCATTTCATAATTAGATATAACTCTTTGTAGTCGCAAGAAACGGTGGAATTGTTTTAAAAAAATGATAAGATATTACTTGTCAGTTACTTCAAGGTATCACAAAAATTCTTTTGTTAGTATTCACAGTCTCGATTTGTTTTTAGAGTTTGTTATATTGTCTCCACAAATGTTTTCTTATTTCAGCAATTACGCCTACATCAATTTCTCCGTCTTCTTTTTTGTTATGGCTGGTAAATTTTGCCATTTTTGCCTTTTGTTTGGTGAAAATGTTTGTTTATGGAGATCCAATAATACCTGAGAAATCTAAGGAGTCCCAGATATATTGGAGACACAGAAGCCAGGCGAATTTATTTTTAAAAAAGGTGAGAAAGTCAAATATTATTAAGATAGCTGAACTAAATATTTTCCAAAACATCAATTAGTATTTTTATTGAAAAAAATCATGATGAACCGGTTGTTAGTTTTTTTCGAATATGAATTCGCAGTGATTTTTCATTTCCTCTTCACGACTTTTCAGGGTGACAAAACAGGAGCCAAGCAGGAGCTGCTTCGATGCCTTCAAACTTACGGTATCACTTTGCCTACAAGTAGATTTGAACTATTCCTTTGTTTCTGTTGGCAATTGTTTCGACAGATTGTTCACAGGCTCTGGATTGGAAGATGGCTATCCAGACATGCCGGCGGATTTTTTGTGAATAGGTGCTTAAGCAAAGTCTCATTATTATAATTCGAATTCTATTGACTTCTCAATTCGTTTTTTTCAGTTTGACCCGCTTCCAAGCACAAACGTCGTGCAAAGAACTGGCCCTCGTTTTCAATGACTTACACAAAATCCAGCTGGTGGCTGGTCCAGAAGAGACTTGCCATCTGTTTGGACTCACGACGGCTCTGAGTGCCTTGAATTTGGCAGAGGCTGCGAAAGGGCGAATAAAGTCTGTCGATATGATTGATATCTATGTGGGTGTAGCTTTGAGAATTAAAGCTAGTATGCCGAATTTCCTCCATCCGATACAGAGGTGAATAAATATTAAGTGAAATTGCTTTATGATTTATTTTCGACACAGTAGAATAAATATTTATGGAAATATGGAGCTAAATGACATTAAAACGGTCGGAACTTTTGAAGCAACCTATATCATTGTTGGGAATTATCTCAGATATGACCTTTCTTCAATTTGGGAAAGTTTTTATTTTTTTACATGATTTTAAATCATTTCTAAGTGTACCGAGTGTTCTTGAAAAGTTTGGCCAGTCATGTTTTCATTCCTTTTTCAGATATTATTTGGGTTTGGCCCAGCTGTCGTCAACCAACTCTTGTGATGCCATTCCCAAAAGGTTACAGTGGCTTTTTACGCCGTATGGATACAAATTTTTCATTTCCCACAAGTTCACCAAAGATGTGAAGAACAGAGCACTTCCGTTCAGTTCTATTGGAAATAGCATTGATCCGCTTGCTATCCAAATGAAGGTAAAATGATAATAATAATAATAATATTTATTCATCCTTGAAGACGTTGATAAACGTGTAGGATAGGTCAGCATTGAGCATGTAAAATCACATCAAACGATAAAATTGTAGATCAGTAGATAAAAATAATACAATAAAAATGTATACAACAGAAGTCAGAATTATAAAAATTAAAACAATTGTAGTAATAAAAATTGAATATGTCATGCCAAAGCCGCATGAACCCATTCAGTCGAGATGGACCTAGAGAAATTCATCAATAATAATAATAATAATAAATCGGCTTTATTGATAATACAAAAAAAAACAATACAAAGATATATTTGAAAATGAAAATAGTTTACTGGAGATTCTGGTACTCCTTGGCGAAGTCTAGCTCAAGGCTACTCTAACTCAACCAACAAGCACCACTCCATAATGCACGCAAACATACAAAAATAAAAGCAATTAACAGTGATGGTACCACGAAATGAGAACCGTAAATAAAATAATAATTTGTGATTACCTTCTAAATATAGTTGATAAATAATTTAATTTAAATTTTTATTGAAATTGATATTTTTTTTGGTTTTAATGAATTATTTTATTCTTTCATTAGTGATAGGTATTGTTCAATTTTTAATGTTATATGTATATTTGATTTCGTTGGAACTAATATTTTGTGGCATTATTAGAAGTCTTAATTTTTAGATATAACTTGTACTATATCAGTTATCAAGGCAAATATTATTGTCCATTTTTATGCTTAATTCGTGGATTCGAGAGATCTTATTATTGTATATTTATTTGTTTGCTGGCTTTATTCTTGAAAAATATGAATGAATTATTACAGAAATTTTCAATTTAATTGATCTGTTGTCTAAAAAGCAAAAGTTGACATTACTGAATATCATAGATATAATTTTTATATTTGTATTTGAATTTGTTGATATTGAATCTCTTCAATTGCTCAGGCAATGAATTATAGACTTTTACAGCACCAAAAAGAAATGATCTCTGAAACTGTGCAGTGCGATGTTGTGGCATAGTTAATTTGTTTTTATGTCTAATGTTTTTTTGAGTGAATATTTTCACGCAGAATTAGTTTTTGTATTGAAAGAGGAGAATGGGGAAGGGTGATCAATTTATGAACAAAACAACCCAAATGATGAATCATACGGTTTTTCATATTGAGCCAATGGGAGTTTTTAAAGGCTTCAGAAATTGAATCATACTTACGAAGTCCATAAATTAGGCAGCAACAAGAATTTTGCACTTTTTGTATTCTTTTTTTATCTGAATCATATAAGTATGGCCCATATATGAAGTCACAGTAGTTGAAATGGCTTAGCACCAAACTATCACAGAGCATTCTTTTTAGAGGTTGGCTCAAAATAAAACGATTACAGTATAACAGTTTCAATGACATACAAGCTTTTTTCATTACATTTTTAACACGACTAGTAAATCTAAGATCAGTGTCAAGCATGACCCCTAAGTTTTTAGCTGTATTGACAGGAGTCGAGATAGTATGACCTAGTTCTAAACGGAAATTGTTTTCTGCAAATTTACGATTCTTCTGCGATCCAAAGTTCATCATCATTGTTTTATTAGGATTAATTTTCAAATCATGTTGATAGCCCCTTGATCAAATCAAGATCAGTGTTGAAGAGATTTTATGCCTCAGCACACTCATCGATTTTAAAGTGCATGTATAATTGTATGTCATCAGCATCCGCCTGTATTTTACATTTCTTGATGGACGAGATAATGTCGGTAGTATAAATGATGAACAATAAAGGTCCCAACATGGAACCCTGTGGTACTCCTGATAGAATATCAAGAGGTAAGGAGTGATGACCATCAACAACAACTTTTTGAGATCGACCAAGTAAGTAAGACCAGATGAGAAATGAAGTAGCACTATCAAAACCATAATATTTGAGTTTTATGCAAATCAGCTTATGATTGATGGTATCGAATGGTTTCGAAAAATCTAGTAGTACCAGGGTGCTAATCATTCCCTTATCAAATCCCTCAACAATGTTTTGTGTAACAGTAGCAAGAGCTGGAGCCGTGCTAAAACCCTCCCTAAAATCACATTGCGATGGTGATAATAGATTATTGGTATTGAAATATTCATTAATTTGTAAATAAATAACTCTTTCAAAAATTTTACTCATGGTTGGAAGTATACTGATAATTCTGAGATCAGAATAACTACCTGGATCATTATTCTTGGGAATGGGTTTCCCAATGGCCATTTTCCACAAGTCTGGAAAATATGAACGTTCGAAACAACAATTGATGATATGTGTAATATATTTATCTATAAACGGGCTACAAAGTTTCAACATTCTGATTGAAATATTATCAACCCCTGAAGCTTGACTTTGAATATCATTCAGGATTTCATGAATAGCTTCTTCAGTAGCGAATCGAAATGAGAAGTTATCATGCCTGATTAAATAATTATTGCTATAAAATTATTAAAACATTGCAGTTAAAACATTGCTTCTTTCTAAGGCCTACTATAGTAGGTCTTAGAAAGAATATGCAAACATATTCTTTTATTACTTGACTTTTACTGTCTGGACTAGTTTGATATACTGTGTATGATCTAATTGAGAACCAATAAATACTTTATTTATAGCCAAGATCTTTCAGATTTACCGCGAACACCTTTTGGAAAGAGCGATGAATATTTTGCTGTCACCTGGTCAAAAGAATGACAGTAACCCAGATAAAAGAACAGACATCTGCGATGCTCTTTCATACATCGAGTTGCTTCAAGATAATGTTACAGTCGATGCAAGAACCGTGTTTGGTGAGAATTCAGACCAATGTGAGTCAATAATTAGATTTATTTTTATTGCTGTTGTTTTCTTTGAAAAGTGTTGATTTGAATTTATTTTTTTGCTTTAATTATATCTGTGTAATTGAATCTGCCTAATTATTATGCATTTGTTGACCCAGAAATTTGTCGTCACGATATCTTTGAAGTGATTTTGACTTCCTCCAACTAGAACACGGCATAATAAAGACAGCAGGTGTTTTACATTTCCTGGAAATATATTGATATCTATAATTGCACAAGACATATAGAAGAAATTTGATTTTTCTCCAAATATTTCTGAAATGTCTGGAAAAATAAAAAGTTGTCAAAAGAGCAATTTTGTTCTTAAGAATTTCCTGAAAAATTTCTCAATATTTCTTTCATAATTACAAAACGGTGACGAGTTTCAACCAAAATAATCCGAATCATTAATTCAACCTTGTAGCGGTCACTAAATCAATCCATTTTTGAGGGAACTTCTGATTAGTTTTCAACTGATATCATTTCAACTTATTTTTCGAAACTTTCCACCGACATGACTCGAATTTTCTGCTCAACTAGAAATTGTTTGGCTCATCTTCTGATTGGACTTCCTCCATAATACATTTTCATAATCATAAGCAATCCAAACAAGTCAATGGCCTCAAGAGTGTTACACTATATACCGAGTTCCAGAGAGATAGTCAACGTTCATCTCTGCAACACTTTACTATTTCCATACTTTTGAAAGCATCCAAAAATCTAGTGTCGTGTTCAGATCTGAACCATTTCAGACAATTTTCATTTACTATATGGCCGTTTTGCGAAGCGTGGCACTAGATTTTTCTGTTCTTCGAAATCGGATGTGCTGCGTGTTCTTTGAAACGAGTTTTAATAGCTCGCCTAGTCTGACCGATATATTGTTTGTCGCAGTCCTCACAGCTCATTTTTTTATCCCCAACTTTTGCTTTTTCCAACATCTTGTCTTGAGTTACCTAACATTTGTTGAAGTGAGCAAAACGTTTTGAAGGCTACTTTCACGTTTAACTTAAATGCGACACATGTAATCTGTTGGTGTGTCTTGGTTCATACAAAAGGATGATTAACTTTGAATCATTGTCGTTTGAAAAGTGAAGGTTCAAGAAGATTCTCCCACAATATACGTTTCCTAATTAACTTATCTACTATATTTTGAAGATACCCGTTTCTTTCAGCCATGTCCCTCAATATTGTACCCTTCTATACTCCAGGGGAATGTAACAAGCCTATGGACGAGAAAGTTCAGTCCTGCCAGAAATCTGGAAAGTAATCTAACCTCTCTTATTTTAAATTGAAATCTGACAAAGAACAGTGGGTTTGCCATTGCCGTGCCTTCGTGCTGTCTGTAGAAACAGTTGTTGAACTGGAATAAATTCTGTTCCATCAGATTTTCATCAATTGTATTTAATCTTTGATTACTTCTCAACTGAGACCATTGACCATTGAGATTTTCAAAAGTTATGAATTGAATAGAAGAAAATAAACTCAAGGTTCTTTTTTGAAAGAATGAAATTTGATTTTTAGGTTATCAATATCAGGTGGCCCAATGGTGGATGGCGTTTGTTTCTATAGCTTGCCACTGGCTTATGGGAGATGACAGGAGCGAGAATTTATACAAAAAAATTGAAATGATACCTGAACCACTTGCGATTCTCAATGATCCCCTTCCGAAGGCTATTGTAGCAGCTTTTGTGGCTAGGAATAATTATTTGAATCCGCATCCTTCTATTACTCCCAAGAAGATTTTACTACAGTGTGATTATGCCAGTCATTTGCTGGCTGATAGTTTGACTATTACAAGTTGCAAGAAGAAAGATGATTTGGTTTTGGTAAGTGTAATGCTTATTTGAATTATTGTAGTAATAATAATAATATTTATTAGCCATTTCGGTACTTAATGTACATATGGTAAGTCAATAGAAGTACTATATAATATAAAAACAATTAAAATCATGATTTGTCATATATAAATAAAAAAACTAAAACAAATATCACGACAGTATATGGTATCACAGTTATAGAGGTATAAATTAATAATAAGAATCTTAAAATTATAATTTTTGTCCTAAATAATCCTGTACGCTATAGAAACACTTTTCTATTAAGAATTGATCTGCAATATTAGGTTGGATTAGTTCACAATCATAAAGTTCTTAAGGAAATTGGCAACTATAAAATCAATACTGGTGCACCTGGTATAATTATTGATGTTGGTGAATATTCTTGTGGGACCTAACATGTTAGTTTCTAATCGAAATGAATTAAACAAATCCATCATTAATTTGGCATTAAGTTGTGTTGTTTATAACATTTGAATGAAAGAAATATTCCAAACAGTGGTCGCAGTGTCCCAATTTTCTGTTGATTGGTGTGCATTGTGGTTGCATTGCATGTTTTTTTTTTGGTGCAGTGTTTCTGCAGTGCATCCCAAATGATGGAACAGCAGCGGAAGCAGTAATATTGGAAAGTTTTGATGTTATGAATTTAAGAGGTCTGTTCAAAAAAGTTTGCAGTGTTTTGTGTGTTTGACAATTTTCAGCTATCAAAAAGAATGGGTCAAAGAATTTCCATCAAATTTTGTGTGAAAGATAGAATTATATGCTGAAAAACACTTGAATGGTCGACAGAGGCATTCGGTTGTACTCTTGAATCAGAAAAATGTTAACAAGCAGTACAAGCTTTTAACAGAAGGTAAAAACACCAGCACATCAACAACCGATGAAAATGTTCAGAAAGTGAAGAAAATTATTATGGAGAATCACCGAATCACTATTAGAGAAGTTGCTGATAATGTCGGCATATCGGTTGGCTAATGCCATACAATTTTTTGTAAAATTTGAGCATGAAGCCTGTGGAGCAAAGATCATTCCAAAATATCTGACTTTTGATCAAATAAATCGACACTCTAGTATCGCACAAGAATTTTTGAATGACGTCAACGGATAGCCTTTGAATGACGTCATCAATTATTGTTGAATCACGTCAACGGCGATCCGAATTCGATCACTGTCAAGGTTTTGCTCATTGTTTTTTTCGATTACTCTAGTGTAGTGTTAGGTTAGGTTAGGTTAGGTTAGATTAGATTAGGTTAGGTTAGGTCAGGAGTTCTTGCCACATGGTTTTACGCTCAATAAGGAGTATTATCTTGAAGTTATGCGTTGCTTGTGAGAAGCAATACAAAGAAAACGTCTGGTATTGTGGAGGAATCTGTTTAAAAATCTGTTTAAAATCTATTTTTCCGTTAATCAGCTGTCGCCCCCATACGATCGACAACTCTCAGAAGTTGAGAAACTTGTTCGAGCTAAGAACTAACGAGGTCTTACCTTTCAACGTGTGATTCCCACCACGCTAATGCACCTACTAAAATAACACCGTAATCATGTCTCAGCTACAGCATTCATCAGATTTGCCTCCATGCGACTTTTTCCTGTTCCCAAGATTGAAGAGAACCATGAAAGGATGGCATAGATGAATTGATATTTTTTGAAAATAATGAACATTCACCTTTTTTGAGCAGACTTCGTACACAAGAAGTCCATCTAAATTGAATTAGTCTGGTAAATGGGGCGTTCGATCAATGAAATGAAAGACACACTCTTGTTAGAGTAAATCTTATTTCTTGTACAGTGAAAACGAAATTGTTTTGAACAAGTAATGCAAACAATACTTGTTTAGAATAATTTAAAAATCGAATAGAAATTTAGACGATCTCAACAATGTTCTTCAGATGGTACGTTTGCTTGAAGCTGCAAGGAAAATCTCGGTAAAATCTACATCTTGTTGAAGAATATATACCAAAATTACCCCATCCCATTCAGGATGGCCCAGACACCAACAAATCCTTAGTTCTAGTGAGGTATGGGTCCATTTAATTGCATTTTTTTCAGTTGGCACAATTGTTGGTTTGTGATTGGCTCCTTGAAACGAGAACCTCATTGTGGGAAGACAGAGTAGAAGATGGTTTAAAAACGCCCGTATCTAATTGTGTTCTAACAGCCTTCCAAGCAGACTTGACTTCGTTAAGATCGCTCACAGAACACATTCCGGTGAGTTTTTAATACTGTTGATAATTCAATGATTTTTGTCACCCCTTATATGATTGATTGATTGATAATATGCTTATTGTTTAAGAATAAATTCCTGTTACAAACACAATGTCATAAATAAATATCAATATAAACATGAAGTATAAGATATGAAGTATAAGTGTATAAAATATAAATGATTAAAATAAAAACTATATATACGTACATATGCAGAGGTTACTTGACAAGAACTAGGACAACAAATAAAAATATATGTTTCACACACACTTCAATCGCAGTTTCATCACATTCTAAATTACAGGGCATCTTCAAAATATTTTTGTAGGTCATAATAGGCTTTATCACTTAATAGTTTTGTACATTTCTTCCTAAATATGATGAAAGGAGTCTCTTTGATTTCATTGGGAAGTTTATTGTATATCCTGATTCCATTATACAGGGCTTTTCATGATGAGCGTTAATTAGCCGTTTCTGGCAAACTATTCAACGGATCAACCTGAAAATTCCACAGTATGCATAAGTCAATATGACCTACACGCCTAAAATATTTTAGACGAAGCGGCGTTGTCGCTTCTACTATAAAGTAGCGGCTTCTTTGATTTTTCAAATGGAACAAACACCCCGTATATAATATCATATTATGATTCATTATCACTTTGTCAACAAATTCATATACTATTTCCCTATACCTATCTATTACCGTTTAGAAGATATAAATTAATTTCGGTATTTATTTTACCAAACATAAACTTTAATAAATGCTGATAATCTTGAACTCTCTTGCACTAAAACGATCAAATTTGAAATGGAGTGGAGTAATACAATGAGGATCTTCACTCCGAGTCATATTTTCATTTGCCTTAGACAGGGTCTTCAAAAAATGCAGATACTTTGGTCTCATGAAAACATGAGTGGAACTCAATTTTTTCAAATGGAACACCCTGTATATTTCAACATTTTTGAGCTCTACATCCAATTTTAGATTAGCTGAAAATAAGAATTATATTAACCAAAATAAACCTGAAATGAAATAATAGTGAAATAAAATACAAGTCAAAATAGAAAGAAAATAAAAATAAAAAGTGGAGCGATTCCAAGTCACGTTAGTTCACGACGTTTCGTCACCAAACGCGGACTGCGATTCCAAGAATTGCATTTACCGGATACCCTGTGAGTGCAGAAAATCCTATATTGGTGAAACTAAGAGGCCATTGAATGTTCGCATTGCCGAGCACAAGAAACACACACAGCGAGGGGAAACCAGCAAATCAGGAATAGCAGACCATGTTTGGACCCATCAACACAACATCGAGTGGTCCCAAGCTGAGATCTTGCACAGAGAGGAACATTGGTTTAGGAGAAAATTCAAGGAAGCCGCATACATGTTGTCCAACAACATATTCAGCCAAGCCAGCGTAGAAATACGCAACTTATGGACACCCATCATCAAGCGAAAAATGGCCAACTCCCGCCGAAACGGTCATCTCCCACGGAACCAGTGAAGCGGAAAATGGAAAGCGGGGATAAGTGAAAGTACTCGAACGACCTATAAATAGTCATCTCTCGGAGGAATCAGTCCAGTCATCACCCGAAGACGATTGTAGATACTAACAATCAAAAAGTCGTGAAATAACTTGACTTGGAGTCGCTCTACTTTTTATTTTTATTTTCTTTCTATTTTTACTTGTATTTTATTTCACTATTATTTCATTTCAGGTTTATTTTGGCTAATATAATTCTTATTTTCAGCTATTCATTTTTAATTATTCTTCTTTAGTTGTTTCAGAGATTTCAAATCATTTTATATAGTAGACAATGGAAGTCCGAACTAGTGAAATAGAATAGTTTGATGAACCAATTCAACTGAAGAAGCTACAATGTAGCGAAACGCATCTTGAATAAAATTTTTTGTGAAAACTGATAATCATTATCATGTAGAGTGTATTAATGATTTGACTAGTCTGGTAATTTTTATTTCCAGAATGCTTTACCTAGAGTTTTCCTCTATGAAGCGACCAGCAGATTGATGGCTGGGGCAGCTCCTGGAAGGACCCAGCAACTTCTTGACAGAAGTTTGAGACAGAGACACAATAAACCGTCTATAATTTGTGGAAAGGGTAAGTTTGTGTTACAGCACGTAGAAAGTTCATTCATACAAGTTGTTGGATAATTTATAGGAATAATTTTGTCATTTTGAGTTCAACAAAAGCTGTTTTGATGAGGATTTGCAAGAGAAACTTTTCAATTCAGAAGAACAGTTTAGCAGTTATTTGAATAACTGCTAAAATTGAACTTCGCCTTTTACTATAACTTTATATATTTGGTTAGAACTTAATATTGTGATTTTTTTTGTGGTTGTAGTAATAAAGACTTTTATTATAATTATATTATTAAGTATGAATGCAATGTCATGAGTTTCACAAATTATACCTAGCCTTGAAAGAATTTTCTCTAAAAAAAATAGTTATCACCATCAAAAAATCGTTTCGAAATTGCTTTTTCTATTAACTGCTTGCTCATATGAAGTTCCCTTGAATGTTTTCAGGAGATTTGTTGTGTGAGCTAAGAAACGGGAAGGATTTTATTGTGACCATGCAATTTTCAATGAGTGAATGTACGAGGGTGATCTGAAAAATTACCGACCTTAACATAAAGATAGCGGCACTCGTAAATAAAAGCTAGTGAATTTCGTTGTTCGTCTGTTGACAGTTACTCAACAAAGTTTCAGCCATTTTGGACGCGCAGTTGTTATGTAACAGTCGTTTGAGTGAGTTGATGTGAGTGTTCTTATGAAGGACGAAATCGAGTATCAAGCTGTCGTTGAATATTTGTTTTTGAAAAGCAATACGCCTACGCGAATCAAAGATGAGTTGAATTCTATGTATGGCAACTCTGCTCCATCATTTACTACAGTGAAATTTTGGCCAGCTGAATTTGAACCAGTGTTCTCAACCGTAGCGGCGTTGCGGATTTGAACATAAAGTTTCTACAAATAATCAATATTGAAAAAAGAAGGAGAAGAAGAGGCAGTGGACTGGAAGCTGACAGCTGACAATTGAATGCACAGTCAATTCGTTATAGTCTTAGTAGCTGAGGCCATTACATGACGAAAGAGAAGAAGAAGATATTTGAATTTTTTGTTTCATATAACCTCCAATATTTTAAAACTAAAAGACTAATAGTCTCGTCGTAACGTCATATTTATACTTTTGATCTCTTATGATGTTATTCAGTTTTTATTGATTTTGAGGTAATGTTCTTCTACAATTAATTCAATTTCAAAATCATTATTTCGAGCCAAAAAATATTTGGTTAACTGCTGTAAATTTGAAAATTGGGTACAATCTACTGAGTTGCGGGGTTGATACTGAGCATGATCCTGATTCCTGGCAGTTCCAGTTTTGTGTATCTGAACAGTACACAAACTGTAACTTCTGTGGTATTTAATTTTGTATAGGGTGCATGCGCGAACTGAATTGCGTCAGATATACAAGCATAATGGAATATGAAGCAGTGTAGCGAAAATTTGCTTCATGTGTACCGAATTTATAGTTCATCCAGTTGGCAACACTGATTTGAACGTGGCCATAAAGCTTGGGAGATGAAACTGCATCTACCGGCGAAAACATCTCCAAAGTTCCCCAAATGGTGCTAGACGACCGCCGAATTAAAGTGAGAGAGATAGCAGAGGTTATGACCATGACCATGCCAAAAGAACGTGTTTGTCACATATCAAATCAACATTTAGGCACGAGAAAGCTGTCCGCGCGTTCGGTACCGCGTTTGCTCATTTTAGACCAAAAACGAGCTTGAATAAACATTTCCAACGCTCCGTTGGCGCAGTTTAGGCGCAATAAATCCGAAGTTTGGCGCCGATTCATCACTGTAGATGAATCTTGGATACACAATTATACGCTCGAAACAAAAATACACTCCGAACAATGAATTGCAAAAGAGGAACCGGCTCCAAAAGAAGCAAACACATTTTTTTTGGTAGGAAAGTGATGGCGACTGTTTTTTGGGATAGTCGTGGAGTTATTTCAATCGATTATCTTCAAAAGAAAAAAACATTACAGAAGCATATTAAGCATTATTACTTGACATGATGAAGGCAGAACTTGCGGAAAAAAAAGACATATTTGCAGAAAAAGAAAATCCTGTTTCACCAAGACAACGCACCGTCTCAATCACAGCGGTTGCCATGGCGAAAATCCACGAGTTACGGTTTGAACTGCTTGTCCATCTATCCTCAAGTGACTTCTTTTTGTTCCCTGATTTGAAAATTGCGCTCGGAGGACAGATATTTTCGTCGAATGAAGAGGCAATCACTTTTGTGAACAATTATTTTGCAGAATAAAACGCATAGTACTATTTGGACGGGTTACAGAGATGGGAGCATCAATGCGGGAAAGTGTGCAGAGTTAAATGGAGATTATGTTGAAAAATTGAAAAAAAAACGGAAAAAATGACTTGTATTTGTTAGGTCGGAAACTTTTCATAGCACCCTCGTATTATAAATAAGAGAAGAATCTTTCTAGGAATCAATAGTTGAAAAACACAGCTCATAATAATTCGTGGTCAACTAATTTTTTCATTGTATGAAATATGTTTTTCCAACAACTGATTCTGCAACACACACATACACAGACACACACTCATATTATTACTATTAATTTGAGTGACATGATTTAATTCCAGGAGATAAAAGTCAGCAAGAGCTGGGAGGCGAGAGGCAGCATGCCGCCGCCCTGTACATGGCTTGCAAGCACTTACCCGGTCCTCTCCTTTCCTCACCGGGAGAGAGAGCTGGCATGCTTGTGGAGGCGGCGAAAACGTTGGAGAAAATCGGCGACAAGAGGCGGTTGCAAGACTGTTACCAGCTGATGAAAACATTGGGAACTAATGCAGTGAATAATTGAATTGTTCTGTTTTGTTTTCATCTTATTAGTATTGGTATTTATATTGATATTCAAGCTTTTTCTTGTTATGAACGACAATTTTTAAGTTATTGAAGTGTATATATTTTGGATAAGAGACATAATTTATATATTTTTTTTATAAACCCTCATGTTTTTATTAAAAACTCCACGATGTATTGTGTTTTTTTTTCTCGATTCATTTCTTAGACAGAATAGTAAAAGAGAAATGAAGTATGAAATGACCAACAAGAATTCAACTCAAAAGTTGGTTTCAGTGGAACAAATAAATTAATTCTTGAGTATGAATAGTATCATAACAAAAATGATACAAGAGAGTTAAGTTCCAGGTTGCATTATATTTGACACTAAATTTCATTAGTTCGGACTTCTATTGTCTGATATATAAAATGATTTGAAATCTCTGAAAGAACTAAAAGAGAAGAATTGAAAATAAATTGGTGAAATTAACAATTATTGTGAGCAAAAAACCTGAAATGAAATAATAGTGAAATACAGTGGCGTAGCTAGGTAACCTGGGGCAAATAAAAAATGGGGCCCCACTGCTATCAAAACTGGTAAGGTTTCATGAAGTGAAATCATTAAATATATAAATACTTCAAAAATCCTAAACTACTTTTTCATCAGCTCTTTTTCATGCATTGCTGGGCAGGTAATGAAAATATTAAACACTAACAACATGAATTAGAATCATTTTAATAATTGGAGTAGGTATTGGGCAATAAAACGAGATAGAAAAGATTCAAGGGTTTATTATTATATAAAGATCGGACCTACCAACTGACTAAATAGCTATTATAATCACAATCTTTTCCTAGCTTTAGTTTTCGCAAAAGTATCAATAACTTCGGTTAAGTCCAGACTGGATGCGGTTTTGTTCTCAATTGCTATTAGCTATAAAAACGATTAACTGGTCCATATTTTGAACTTGAAACGTAGTATGACTTTGAAAAATACCTATTATTCTGGTTGATATCAATTGAAAAATGTCCTGAAAGCTGTAAAGGTCCCATATCAAGAATTTGACGTCTTTCATTATCATTTAGTATTTTGTTCATGAAGTTTCCCAAGTCATAAGACGATTTATTGTACACATTTTCGAAAAATTTAGAGGTCTGTGGTTCCTCCAAATCCTCCGTTTTTATGTTTTTATATGCCATACACATGGTCAGTCGGTAGCCAAGCGGTTCGGCGTGGGTGCTTTGTTCACTCACTCGAATTGACTTCCGTGTTGGTCGGTGGTTCAAGCCCTAGTCTGAACGATCGATCTTCACTTGCTACCGTCCAACCCGTGTTAGGAATCACACGTTAAAAGGTAAGACCTTGTTAATCCTTAGCTCGCACAAGTTTCGACTTCTGAGGGTTGTCGTTCGTAGGGGTGCGACAGCTGGTTAACGGAAAAACAGATTTTAAACAGATTTTTTTTAGAGATACACATGATCAGCGGCGGAGGTATCTTCAATTGCAATAATTGTTGCATCTTCTTCAGTAGGATTCTCAACCAACACTGCAGTTACTACATCATTTGAGTAGGGAAGTGCAAACACTGGTTGTGACGGCTTCTCTTCCTTGCGAGGCTCCTGCTGTCTTTTAGCCAGTCTTTTCTACCATCGCTTTGGAGTAGCCATTCCGTTGAAGATCATTTTTGATGATGTCTAGTTCCGTCTCGGGACCTTCCTTCGTATTACAGAGCCCGAAAATACGGTCTAAAAAAGTCTTGATGATTCCTCTTTTAGTTGATTGATGGTGGTTGGATTCGTGGTTCAGATACTGTTCCGTGTGAGTGGGTTTTCGGTATACAGATGTTTCCTACTTAGTGTTGGTCCTCTTCACCAAAATACGTCTAAGAATGACAAATCGTTGTGGACTTCCTTTACCATTGTAAAAGTGATTGAAGGTCTTACGCTGTTGATGTGTTTCGGGAAGGCGTGTAGTTCAGTATTCCCATGGTTCCATATTATGAAGGTGACACTTTTCAGTAGTAAAGAGACCGGTTTATTATCAGCTATAATATCCCAAGGACATTGATAACTAACGAAATAATTTTATCACAGTTTTCGAAAGCACGTTATTTGGTAACATCCCGACGCCGAAGGCGGAGGGATGTTACCTAAAATAACGTGCTTGAGGAAGTTGTGATAAAATTATGAGTTATTTATCAATGTTCGAGGGATATTCGGTGAGAAAATTTTTTGCAATTCGAACAAAATTATTTATTGAACACACAGTTATTAAAAGAACAATTCGTATAATGATCTTGCTGAAAATAATCAACTAAGCAAGCAGCACCTTCACCACCTCTCCAAGCCAATTCCACCGCTGCTATGTGATAAAATTTGCGTAGGAGTCCTATAGAGGTATTTTCATCCCAAAAGTTTATAATTTTACTCATTTCATTTGAAGTTAATGGTACTGAGCTAGTTTTGCGTTTAGTGGGATCTGTTTGTAAATTTCTTCGTGCTGCGTCGCGTGCATTCCGCACTTGTTTGAATGCAACACTTTTAAAGGGGTCTAGCATGATATTATACTCCTTGTAATACTTTTCTTGTAATAATTTGCTTGTTATATTCCATACGGTTTTAACAGTAGCCTCCTTAAACTCTGTGCTATCCTTTTTTCTCATATTAATCGCCCAATCCTTGAGTATTAATGCAAGCTCTTCGAGAGTACGATTTCCATCCAATTCATATTTTCTGGCGTCACAAAACTCCATAAATATTTTCCAAGTGTATTTTTTACTATTGACAGTATTTTTTGGTGTATTTTCTTCAATGATTTTGTCAATTGCCGCATCATTTTGAACACCAAAGCGAGGAAGTGACATTTTCGAAATAAATTGAATTACTGAAATGTCAAACAACTTTATTGTGTTGGTTGCTTAGCAATGTCATGACATAAGTGATAACTACCCGTGAAAACTATCCATGGGTAGTTATCAGTGTAATGATGGTTTCATTGGTTATTTCGACACACATGACTAGAAATAGACAAATTTGATAGGATAATTTTCTTGGCAAAAAATTTTCAGTGTAATGATGGTTTCATTGGTTATTTCGACACACATGACTAGAAATAGACAAATTTGATAGGATAATTTTTTTGGCAAAAAATTTTCTTTACGAAGTTATATTTATATTCCTGAGATTTTACAAGAAATTACTTCTGCTTGATTAATTGTTGGGGTGTTTTTTAATTCTTGGCACCATATTGATTGATATTTCATGCATATTAGTTCACAAAATAGACCATCAAAACTCTCTTTTCCAAATTACACAGCCACTTATGAAAAGTACCACATACTCCCACCTATTCAAAAGCATCATATTCAAATTACAACTTGATTATCGGTTTAATTTCTTGGCGCATGAAAATGTAAGCAACTTATTTGTTGGGCATTGAAGTTGGTAAGGTTGGTACTTGGAAAAAATGAAGGAGGTGTAAATAAACTGAGTTTAAGTTGAAATTATTTCTGTTTTGTAGTTGTTATAACTTTATAGTTATTTCCAAATTTAAATATGACATTGAAAAAACACTTTGATGTGAGATTTTCACTGGGCAGTTTACAAAACTGCGAACACGTGTTTCGCTATACAATAGCATCTACATTCTGCTGTCATGCTTTTATAGTAGTTTGAATCATTATAACTATTAACTACCTGACAAATTTCTACCCGATAAATTCATAAAATATTTACATTTCTAGGATACACTCAAAAAACTGGAAAATAATTGATACAAATCTCACCTGAGACCTCATTTTACCTGCTTTTGAGATTTATCCTAATTATACAGGGTGTCCCTGAACTTCCTCTTTTCCTCTCGGGAATGTATAGATGGGGTCAAAATATCACCAGTACTTCATATAACTTTTTTTCCTAAAATCCTTCGTTACCAAGTAACGGGCCCTCGAAGTTACAAAATGAAAAATGTTTTTCTTTGATAACTTTTCAAGTGAATATTCAAAATCATCCAAAT